TGCTTTACCTTGGGCTCAAAGCTATGGAATCAGCTGGTCAAAGACTAAAGAGACCATGAACCAAAATAAACTTTTCTTCCTGCCAAGTCTTTTAGTCACAGTGATACAAAAGATCATTAAAACATAAGGTATTATTATTTTCTAGATGGAATAATGGTTTTGTGTTTGTACATTTTTAAAAGTTATCTTTTAGAGATACAAATGGATAATAGATAAAGTCTAATTGAAAAAAGATTGGCTATGTCATGATAATTGTTTAATCTGAATAACAATTATATGGCAGTTCAGTATATTACTTGCCCTACTTTTGCATATAATTTAAATTATTTCATGATAATTTAAAATTTCATTATAACTTTTGCTTCTATTTGTGTATTTTTAAAAGATCAGGCTTTTCTAACCCAGAATAATTTGCAATTTATTCCTTTTCAGTTTGTATTTTAAAAATAGCTAATACCAGTAAGAAATTCAAGTCTACAGCTCCCACGATGCTTTTTATATGGGGGGATGTGGGGAAATTGAACCCAGGAGCTTGTACATGCTAGGCAAGTGCTCTTCCACAGAGCTGCATCTCCAGCCCTTTTTATTTTTATTTATTTATGTAAAGCAGAAAGATCATGGAATAAGAATGAGGTACCAAAAGGAGGTTTATTGGGGGGCGCTTCCAGTGAGGTTCACTGGTCCCGTGAAAGGGTAAGGGCCCAGGAAGTTGCAGGCGGGAAAGGCAAGAACAATGCTAATAAGGGAAGATGGAGGTAGTAGGGCCTAGTGATTCTGCAACCTGTACACTTGGAAAAATGAGAAATTATAGCCCATTTGAGTCAAATGTATGATATGTCAAGATCATTGTATTGTCATGAGCAACTAATAAAAAAATAAAAATAAAAAAATAAGAATCAAGAAAGAGAATATGAAAAAAGAAAAAAAATTAAAAATAAATTGCAGCTACGGTCAGCAGGTTGGCTGAGCTGAGTTTAGGGGGATCATGTTTGTCTCAGTTTGGTCAGGGCTATTGAATTGACAGGGTGATTGCTTCCCTGGGTGGGGGTGGGGGTGGGGGTGGGGGGGTTGAGGGGGTTGGGGGATTTGGGGGTTGGGGGATTGGGGGGTTGGGATGGGGCGCTGGGGGAGGGGTCCCTTGCCATGTCGTGGGGGTGGGGGTGGGGGGGTTGAGGGGGTTGGGGGATTTGGGGGTTGGGGGATTGGGGGGTTGGGATGGGGCGCTGGGGGAGGGGTCCCTTGCCATGTCTGCTTCTGATTGGCCATTTCGGGTCTCCTCAGCTAGGTGGAAAGTCCCCACCCACAGCCACCATGAAAGGGGACGGAAAGGGAAGCCTCCTGACCTAACAATTTATTTTTTGAGACAGGGTCTCATTAAGTTGCCTAGGCTGGTCTCAAGTTTGTCATCCTCCTGCCTGAACCTTCTGAGTAGCTGGATTACAGCTGTGTACTGCCATGCCTGGACCACAGTGCTTTTTTTCTTCTAAATGAATGTACTATCTCTTAATACTTTTATGCATAAGCAACAACATTGTGCCACCTATAAATGTTATGATTACCTTGTAGACACACACCTGGGGGAACTATCTATAAAAAGACAGAAGCCATGGGGAGGTAGGATATGAATGAGCATAAGACATCTTTATATACCCCCAGCAGAGTGGGAGAATGGCTCAGACTAATTTATACTCAGGTAGGGGTTTTAATCATAGGAGTGGATTGGGTGATCTGTAAATAATCACCATGCTAATAGCTGGTAGTGAGAAAGCAGTATAGCATAAGTGAGCATAAAACCACCAGAGATTCAAATCTCAGTTCAATCAATTACTACATGTGATCTTCCCATCACCACCAGGGATTGAACTCAAGGGCAGTCAACCACGGAGGAGCCACATTCCAGCCCTATTTTGTATTTTATTTAGAGACAGGTCTCAATGAGTTTCTTAGAGCCTCATCATTGCTGAGGTTGGCTTTGAACTCATGAACCTCCTGCCTCAATCTCCCCAGCCACTGAGATTACAGGCATGTGTCATCGTGCACAGCACTAGATGAGCTCTTGATATATGTCAGAATTTGCATATATTATACCCCATGTAATGGGACACTTTTTTTTTTAAAAATAGCACGTATGGAGTGTGAAGACAGTGTTTGTTAAGCTGATCTTGTTGTTCAATCCTTGCATGTCTTCAAGGAAATCAAGAAGCATGATTGACCTTTGGCCAACCCCTGGGAATGTTGCCCTCAGAATATTCTTATGTTCCTGGTTGATGATTATGTCTTGTATACCTGGAGCAATGGACCATGCCATTTCAGTCTGTCAGAATTGTTTTACACATATATTAGCATACTTGATGTGTGTCTGGTTTCATCATTGGGAATCTAATTTTCAATTGTTATAACTGTCATATAGCATGATGTCTCTATGTGACTGGCTTTCAATAAAAGCCCCAGACCCAAAACGTTGAACAGTTTTCTCTGGGAAGAGACATTCTGCACATGTCCACATAGTTTACTGCTAAAGAGAAAGCATGTCCTGTGTGGCCCCAGATGGGGAAATGATCAAAAACCTGTGCCCAACTTCTGGATTCCTCCTGATACAAATCTTTTTTTCCTGATACTCTTGATTTATATACTTTTGTTCTAATAAAACTTATCCATAAATATAGCCTGGTATTGAGTTCTGTGAGTCCTTTTGGTGAATCTGCAAACTTCAGGGTAACCTCAGTACCTCTGAGTCATAAAGAGAATGATTTAATATTCCATTGTGTATATTTTTAATTGCTTTTATTTTTTAAATACATGACAGCAGAATGCATTAAAAGAGAATAAAATCATGGCATTTGCAGGTAAATGGATAGAGTTAGAGAATATAATGTTAAGTGAAGTTAGCCAATCCCAAAACATCAAATGCCGAATGTTTTCTCTGATTGAAGACTGCTGATTCATAATGTGGAGGTGGGGGGCATGGGAGGATTAGATGAACTCTAGATACAGTAAAGGAGAAAAGGAGAGGGAGGAGAGGGAGGGGCCATGGAGGTAGGAAAGACGATGGAATGAGATGGACATCATTACTGTAAGTACATGTATGAAGACATGAATGGTGTGACTCTACTTTGTGTACAACTAGAGATATGAAAAATTGTGCTCTATATGTGTAATATGAATTGTTATGCATTCTTCTGTTATATATAACAAATTAAAATTTAAAAAAAATAAAAAGAAGAGACTAAAAAAAGAGGATAGTTTAATGCCTGATACATTTAGTACATGCTAGCTACTGACATTTAACTTACATTTGTTAGATGTTATATGGAGCAAAATATACACAGCTAGAACATAGACTGGGAATGCATGCATGACTTTGCCTGCTTTTCTCAACTATGCCCTTGGAAGAAGAAGTATAATGTTTCATTAATGGGGAAGTTAAACTATATGACTCCAAGGTTTTCTACTTCTCTCTCTTTCCTGCTGATTTAGAGTGGGGAGGTACCACATAGGAAAAATGGATAAATGAGTGGGCCTCCAACTGTGACCTTTTGAGAATGCACACACACAAGGGCAACTCTTTAACCATTTTGAAGGGTAACAAAAAGAATGAGCAGAGTTATTGAGAGTATCTAAGGTTAAAACACTTAGACTAATATGGAGCTTCAGGTATAGATGTTGCAGGCTGCACCCTCACTTTAGGTAGCCGTATATGGAGGCAGTGTGTTAGAAATAATCATCAGGAATTTTCCCAACATAGCCAGAACCAAATATGCAGAGGGTCTTAGTCCACTCAGGCTGCATAACAAATACCACAAATGGAATGGCTTATAAACAACAAAACTCTATTTCTCACACTTCTGGAGTCTGGGAAGTCCAAGATTAAGGCACCAATTAATTAAGGGTCTGGTGAGGGCTGGCTGTATTGTTGATAGATGGAATCCTTTTGCTGTATCTCACATAGTAGAAATGGTGAATTATTCAGCAGTAATCCCATTCAATAGGGCTCCTACCTTCGTGATCTAATTACCTCCCAAGGGCCCCATCTCCTAATACCATCAGATATGGGATTACATTTCAACCACATGAATTTGGGGGGGGGGACACAAACATTCAGTCCACAGTACAGAGCTATTTCCAACTCAACACAGAGCACTACAGAAAAAGAGAATATTAAACTATGAAGATTGTAAATAAATATTTCAAAATAGAACTGGGGGTGTAGCTCAGTGGTAGAATATTTGCCTATCTTGTGCAAAGCCCTGGGTTCAATCTCTAGCACCACAAAAGAATTTAAAAATAAACTTCAGGGGTTGAGGGTGTAGCTCAATGGTAGAGTGCTGGGCTGGGGATGTGGCTCAAGCGGTAGCGCGCTCGTCTCGCATGCGTGCGACCCGGGTTCGATCCTCAGCACCACATACCAACAAAGATGTTGTGTCCGCCGAGAACTAAAAA